CACATCTTGGACAATAGTTATCACATCTCATATTCCTGTGATTTATATTTTTCGTAACAGCCACATGATCAGTTAGCAGTTGGCACATAAGATGGCGTATCTTCTGGGGAGCTTTTATTTTCCAAGGAAAGATTTGGAATTAAGTTATACATGGCTAGCTTATCTCTATCTTTTCTTCATTTTTCAATAGAATTCGAACAATCCAATATCCAGAGTTTACATTTTATTCTCCATTCCTTATGTAAGTTCAGGAGAAAGTGTCTCGACGATACGTTGAGTTTATAGCCATGCCCCTTATGAAAAATATATTTTTTACTAGGTTCGAACCGTCCTACGGACGGGATATACCTTACTTGTACTTAATTCTTATATTTTCCTAAACTTTCAATGTTTGTGTTTTAAATTTGCAAGCGTAAGTAATATGTATGGTAATGATTTATGTTTTTAAGAAAGTAATAGGCGAGGGGTTAAATGGAGAGGATTATATATAGTGTCAACATGCATTCGAATTCAAGCCGGTAACAATTTGAATTTGTAGTTTTTACAAAAAAAAGTAGAGTAATATTGTATGAGAAGAGCTAGGATTGCAACATAAAGCTAAGCAAATAAAGAACATATTAATACTGAAAAGTGCAAAAAATGAAAGATTGCTTGGCCCCAAATACTTATACATCTACATTAGACGAAGTAAAAACCATGTTAAATTGACTCTTATTTTGAAAACAGACCCTTCCCAACAGAATCGAACATTCTATTGATTGTTCAATTGCTAGCTGACTATTGTAATAATAATAATATTATTTAGAAATGGCAATCATGGATCTGGACCGCGGGCCTAGCCCGTAAAGAACTGTCACGGGACGGTATCAGGAAGAGATTTTCTAAGCCCGTAAATTTGCGGGCTTCGCGGGATGGGTCTTTGTGAGACTGGGTCTTTTGCAGGACTGGGCCGAAACGGGTCCCGCGGGATTACAAGGACCCGCATTTTTTTTCTTTATTTTTTTGTTTTACCTGAAAAAAATGAGAGAATGAGTGAGAAGAAAACGATTCATGTGACTTCCCCTGAGAATATGTAATGAGCTCAGGCGATGATGATGATTTGAGCTTCGGTGATAATGATTTGAGCTCTGGTGATGACGACTACAGCTCCAGCGATGACAATTCGAGATATAGTAGTGTTTTGATTTGGTTTCTTTTTTTTTATTAAATTGGGATTGACATTTTTGATTAGGTGTTTCATTTTATTTAATTTTTGGATTCAGCAAACTAAAACATTGGTTATGAACTTATGAGTTATAAGATAATGAAAATATCTTCTGCAATTATTTTTACTTTGTATGTTAATATGTTTTGGGTGTGATATAAATAATTAAAATTATTGTTTTGAATATAAGCAAAGCAATGATTGATGAATTATGTCCAGTTGAATTGACGACTTGAACTATGTCCTAGAATGTCCTGAAGCGTTTTAGAGTGGCATCAATCGTTCTACTGCGCGTATTATCACACGTCCCGTGGAACGGCCCGCAGAGGCCTACAAGAAATGCGGTACGGGATTGGGCAGCTGTTTTCAAGATCGCATCCCGCCCGGGACAGGCCCGCCGCGTACCGCTAGAAAACAAATCCGCAGCGGTTCGAGATGGAACATGCACTACAAGAAATATGAGTATTGGTAGCAGTTCACGATAGCACGAATTCACGAACTGCTATTAAAAGTAGCAAGTTGAGATGAGAACTCTATCGTAACACTAAATTAATGCTAGGATATGATTTTTTTAAGCGGGTAAACTAAATTCGTGGATTTTGTTTACGATAACACTTTTGTGCGAAAATTTTAGTTTTGTCCGCCAACACTTAGAAAAAAAATTTTTTTTTTTCAAAGATGAACTAAACTGTGATGATTCATCAAGGAGAAAACAAGAATACCAACCCTCTTTTGAATCGTGATAACCCAAAATCACAAAGTCACAAAGATCTACACATCTCTTGACTTGAATCAACATCTCACGATTCAATCTCTCTCTCTCTCTCTCTGTCTCTCTCTCTCTCTTTCTCTCATGATTAAAGTTCTCGATTCAACCCTTGATTTTTTTTCTTGTTACAGGAAGCTTGTTCATGAGAGGCTTTCTGTTCTGTTCGAATTCAAGGATCGAAGAAGGTGACTTGGTAGGTACTACTTTAAAAACTTACAAAAGGGTTATGAAAACCATATTCCCTCTCTACTTTGGCGTTGTTTCTCTCTCTCACCATCTCTCGATCTCTCAGGTTTTTCTCCAATCTTAAAGTGAATGATTGATAGCTCTCTTGCTGCTCCTAACACCAGCCTGTTGTCTATTTCGAGATCTGCAAAAGAACCCAACTTTACATGGATTATGTTTGTATTGATTTTGATTTCACATTGACTGCTCCTACCTTTTTTCTTTACTGTTTGCAGNCTGATTAGTTTAAAATGGCAGGCCTGGTGTTTTGGCTGGTAAAGCTGCTGGAGCTAAAGGGATTGATGTTCCTTCTCTGCCTAAACAAACACATATTTTTTCTTCTATGTTAAAGAACTTTGAGTTGAAGGTAAACCTCTCAACCATCTCCCTTTTTCACCTAAGTTGCAGGGCTTTTACATTAGCTGTGACATCTCAACCCATGAACATCCTCTAAGTAGACATCACATGCACGAACAAGCTCTTATTATGAACAAGGTTGACTATTTTTTCATGTATGTTGCAGATGACTGAACCCATCGTACAAGAAGCTGGCCAGGGATATGTTGCAGACTGATAAGATGTCAAGGATATGTTTTAACTCTTCCTGAGAAGAAAGGAGGACAAGTCCATCTCCTCTGTCTATCAAGAGGTATGTTTACTGTAAATACGTTTGATAAAGCTAGGTTTCTTGTGAGGTTTTTCTTCTAATAATCATATGTTGTTCAGGTTACTCGTTCAGTAGAAAGCATGCATTGTGGCCACGAATGGTAAACTAACATCATTTCCCTTATTGTGCTAAGAGTGATAAACTAAATTCTAGATAAATATGGTATTTAAGACAAAGTTTATAGCAAAGTGATGAGATCAAATGTGTTTTAGAAACAAGTATTTGGATCACTTGTACTGTTTCTTATTTATGTGTTCTTTGCATTTTCTGATTGGCTATTAACGAGTATGGCTGCTGGAAATCTTGGTGTCATTTTTCCTCAGTTACTTGTGAGTATGCCCACTGGTTGAAGAGTTATGGAGAGATGCAGCGATCCAAGCTACATACAAGCAAAGGACTGAGCTCGGATTGTTGGTATGGGCATATAAGCTCTTGGAATGGGTATATAAGCTTTTCACTATTGCTTGAGTTCCATTGGATTGTTGGTTAATTTAAATTCAAGTTTTCATATATTGACCTTGTATGTTTTGGATCTTTGATGGAAAAGCATATGATTTTATGGTTTACATGTGTGTTATTACAGTATAAACTCCAGACCTTGTTCTCTAGATCCAAAATACACTACTTCAAACCCTAAGTGTAATTATAATTCTAAAGATTAAAAGTCTATTTAAAAAAAAAAAAAAATTATCCTCAGATTTTACTCTAAATTCCATACTCCAAAGTCCAAACCTTATATCATAACACTAAATTTTAGTCATTTATAAATTTGAAATAATTTAAACTTAAAATTTATATTTACTGTTTTTAACATTTATAAACCCCAAATTTTAGTACTAAGAAACTCAAATCATGTGTTGTTTGACCAAAAAAAGAAACTCAAATCATGTATCATACTTCAAACCCTAAACCCCAAATGTATCATACTTCAAACCCTAAACCCCAAACTTAAACTTTAGATACAAAACTATAAACTCTTACATTTTATCTTTATCAATTACATTTATACATTAATCATATTTCTCGAACTATAAATTCTGTATTATAAACATATAACATTAAACCATTAAAGTATATATCTTATATCTAGCCATTATTCCCTATATATTTTCTAAACATTAAACCCTAAGCCAATCTTTATAAATAAAATATCAAAGTATATGAAATGATACACTGTTTAAAAAAATTATAAACTTTTTTATAAACAAATGTACACCATAAAACTATATTTGTTTAAACTCAAGTATAAATTTTAGACCTAAACCATAAACTTCATAACTCAAACCCTATATCTTAATTCCAACTCCAATAATAATATTTTCAAACTTAAATTCAAATCCCAAAAAACATTTTTTTTACATTATATACAGTTATAACACAATGAATAACTAAAACTAATATTTTTCTCAAAAAAAAAGAATTATAAAACTAATATGGGTGAATTTGCTGAAAATACAAGAAGAATGTAGTAATTAAGAAAATGCCTGAAATTGTGGGGAAATAATGAAGATGGAGGGAAAAAAATTGGGGGGAAATTGGGTATGAAGTGCAAATATAGTAAATGTTATAGGTATGGAGTACAAATATTCAACTAATATAGCCAACAGCGCAGATTTCTTTTCCTCTCTATCTTACCTTCTTTTACGTCACTTTTTTCTTTTCTTATAGCAATCCTCGTGACTCTTTTCTATTGGTCAATACAAGGACAGTGAGGATAACCTATTTTCTAGTCTTAACCGTTGATGAATATTAATCTGATGGACAGAATCCTTTGCCATTTAATACTTTATTTTGCTTTCCTTTCTTTTTGGTTTCCTTTCTTTTGAACAATTTCCTATCTTTCTTCGGATCTATTTTCAGAACAAATTCCTTGTTCTCTCACGGGTTTCCAATTTTCTTCTCACAATCCTCTCCGATTACATCTCTCCAATCCTCACCTCTTCTTCTCTCTCTTTCTTCCTTTTCTTTTTTCTCTGTCTCTCTCTTTTCTTCTCATATCTCTTTTTTTTGAGATCTATCTTAACCTTACTCACACACGATTCATCTCACATACATCTCTCTATCTCACTCTCCCAATCTCTCTGTCTCACATACGACACATCTCCAACCATCTTCAGAAAGGCAGAGGAGAAGCGATGGTAAAGGCACGGCAGATTCGTCTCTGTTCAAACTCTGCGTTGGCTAAACCTCCACACCACCACCACAGGTCAACTCACTCCACCTTCCTCTTATCTGCTCTCTTCTTCTCGCCATCTTATATATTATGATTGACTTTTGTTTTGTTTACAGATTTATTTAGGAGAAAAGGAAGGAGAAGCAGTGGTGTTACATAGCGGTGTCTCCGGTCAAGCGTGGTGCAGCGGTGGTTCAAGCCGGTGATGGGGTGGTGGTCGTGCGGTTGAGATGCGAGCGTCATGGTCGGCGGATACTGAAGAAGAATGTAGTTTAGTGGCTGTATTAGGTTTAGTTAGGGTTATTAGTTAACCAATATGTAATTGTAAACCAATGTAATTGTAAACCAAAATTCAATTTATAAAACACAAATTTATTTTTGTTCAAAAAACAAAAACAAATTTATTATTTTTATCAACTAAACGTTTTATTTATAAATTAGACCAGATTAAATCTTAAAATTAATAATAATAATAAGAAATTTTAATTTTTTTCTGCATACGATATATTAATTTTAATATCCATAGCATTGAAAATATGTCTTTATAGATTATGTTATAGCTAAAAGAAAATGCCATAGAAAATAATATAGTAGCCAAAATAAAGTGCTAGTAAAACAATTTAATATAGTAATAGATAAACGCTATAATATCTCTACTTTTTATAGCATACGAAAAAACGCTATGATAAAAGGGAGATCTACCATAGCTGCAGCTGTCACGGCGTTCTTCGAAACGCTACAAAAACCTTATGATAGCGCTTTTCGGGTGCTACCAATACCAATATTTCTTGTAGTGATGGGACGGAATGGGACGGAATGGGAGAGCCCAATTGCCATTTCTAATATTATTGTATAGAACCAAGTCAATGTTTGAAGACATAACTAAAAGAATCTAAAAAGAAAACAACAAATAATTAAAATGGTAAATATTTCATGATGCCGTGGGGTTTTCTATTTTCATTATTTTTTTGAGCTATATAATTTTAGTTTTCTCTATCATTTACATAACGGGACAATATCAAATTAACTTCAAACTTAAGCAGCAGATTTTAGTACATGGCCACTACAATGGAGAGATGTGTCATGCTCATGGAAGCGCTCTACATGAGATTGGATCAAATGTAATTTCGATGGTTCATACTTAAATGAGGACATGACAAGACAAGCTGGATGAATACTGAGAGATAAAGATTGAATCTATATGGGTGCAGGACAAGGAATATGAAAGAAGATTCAAAATGCAAGCGAAAGTGAATTTCAAGCTTTTATTATAACTTTGCAACATTGCTGGAGTAGAGGATACAAGAAGCTGATTCTGGAAAGAGACTGCCAGAAAAGTTATTATACCTATATATAATTGGGTTCGAGAAGTTCAATGGTGGATCCAAAAATTTGAAGATATTCAGTTTACTTGGATTTGAAGAAAGGGCAACAACGTGACCAATAAACTAGCTAGCAAACATCAAATTCTGAATCAAGTCTATTTCTGTTTTCATAATTACATTCCCCCTCATGTATTACGATAGAACTGCACAATGACTTTATAAGATTATCTATAAAACATTTCCCTTTTATATAAGATATCTATAATAGATTGACACTGCACAAAGATCAGGTATTAAGTATCAACTAAACGTAAAACAATATTTTGAAAAATCTTCGTATGGTAGTAAAAGTTGTATAGAAAAACACACCAGATGCTTGTTTGAATCAGTGAAAAAGACGAAACTCGTCGGTGGGTTATTTCAAAGGAGTTTATTAAATGATGAAAGAGGTTTGTCGATTACAAGTAGGGAAATAAGCGGTGGAAACAAACCGGTGCTCGGAGAGCTAGCCCTGAAAACACAAGTCAGCAAAGATACAAAGGAAATAAAACCCTAATTTTAATCGCCAAATATGTATATATGCTTTTTTATGCTGCTTCTTGCTTTCTCCCTCCTCCTTATATAGCTGGCCTTGTGCAGATACCTAAGCCGTTCTGTCTTAACAGGCCTTCTTGGAAAAGTCGAATTAACGGGGTGTTGGTCAAGCCACTAGCTGTTAGTCGTCGTCCCTTCAGTCGATTTGGATCTGACTTCGTCGGTTCAAGGCAGATGTGAATCTTCCTAAGCGCTTTGGCCGCCAGCCAAACCGATAGAGTGAATTTTATTGGGTTAAACCTTCTACTCGTTGGGTCTTATGGACATAAATCCATCTCTTACAATGTTTCTCTTGTACAAAGAGATAATCGAACAAATAAAAATAAAAGATGGTAAACAATTCTTCGGAGAGAGAATGTGAAAGTCCGATAACCACACGTTATGGAAATCTGGTCTGGTGGGAATTCGAACTCGGGTCTCTTTATACACCCAATAAATTTAGGGATTCACGGAATACCTTGACCATCCGACCACAGACGCGTGGTTATAATCGAACAAATAACTTTATTCTCACGGTTATTTATTTATTTTCGACGGTCAAAGTTTTGGTATTTGTCATCTATTTATATTTTAAGGAATATTCAGACTTCAAGAGAGGAGGTTGAGGTCCTTGAGGAAGACAGCAAAGCAAATGTTTATGCATCGGAGCCAATACCAATAATATACACGCACTATGTTCATATATATATATACAGCTAGAAAAAGTGAACTTGTGTGCGTCTCTCTGTCTACCCATTGTCGTGGGTTCCCACTAGCACTATGTTCATATATATAGCAGCTCTCTCTCTCTCTCTCTCTCTCGTTTTCTTCAGTCAGCCCAAACAAAAGATGTTTCTGGTCTTCTTACATTCTTTCACCACTCTTGCGTAGAAATATTTTTTTTTCTTTCGTAGGGAGGGGAAACGTTACAGTTTTTTTTTTGTTGTAAGCTTTAATATGAATTAGGATTCATTAGGTTTTTGGAAATAAAATGATGGCTCAACAAAGAGAGTTGCAGATGGAAGGTGGTAATAATTATTGAAGTATATGGTTTAGTATAGTTAATTTGGTTTGGTTATACTCGGTTTCCTTTCGCCGGTTTAACTATTCTAATTTGTATATATGTATTGACTACTATAAATAGCTCTCTGTAACGAACAATTGTGGATAATGAGAATATCTTTTCTTTTGTAACAAACTCTCTCATCATTCTCATGAATCGTAATATGGTATCAGAGCCTCAACAATCATCATCTTCCTCGTGATTCCTTTCTCATTGATCTCGATCATCGTCCTCATTCATCTTCACCATGGTTTCTGTGAAGAATCTTCCGCGCCGATCTACACGATTGAGAAATTCCTCAACTCGTACCTCCACTCGATCACCAGCAGCTGATTCTCCTCCGATCACTTCTCCGATCCCTACGGATCCTACCATCGGAGCTCAGCAAACTACTCCTCTTACTCAATCCTCAGATCCAGCTCAATCTCCTCTGTTTATGCATCATGCCGATCATCCAGGTTTACTTCTTGTATCCATTCGTCTTGATGGATCTAACTACGATGATTGGAACGCAGCCATGAGGATCGCGTTAGATGCGAAGAATAAGATTAGTTTTATTGATGGAACTCTTATTCGTCCTCCTGAATCTGATGCTAATTTCCGTTTATGGTCTCGATGTGATAGTATGGTTAAGTCATGGCTTTTGAACACAGTTTCACCCCAGATCTATCGCAGTATTTTACGCTTGAGAGATGCTGTTGATATCTGGCGTGATCTGTATGGCCGTTTCCATATGACTAATCTGCCGAGAACATTCAATCTGACTCAAGAGATTCAAGACTTACGTCAAGGATCCATGTCCTTATCTGATTACTATACAAAATTGAAGACTCTTTGGGATAATCTGGATAGCAGTGATGAACCTGAGAAGCCTTGTGTTTGTGGGAATGCTGCTCAACTCCAACTCAAGGCTGAACGAAGTAAGATCGTTAAGTTTTTAGCAGGCCTTAATGATTCTTATAATATCATCAGACGCCAAATCATAATGAAGAAGGTCCTTCCATCTTTGGCTGAGGTCTATAATATCCTAGACCAAGATGACAGCCAAAGAGGTTTCTCCAATGTTGTTGCTACACCTGCTGCTTTCCAGGTCTCAGAGACTTCTTCTCCTCCTCTCGGTGATAATTCTATTTGCTATGTTCAGACTGGTCCTAACAAAGGTCGTCCAATCTGTTCTTTTTGCAAACGTGTTGGTCATATTGCTGAGAGATGCTATAAGAAAAATGGTTTTCCTCCTGGTTTCAAGTCTAAATTTCCAGAGAAAACACAGACATCTCGTCCCGTAGCTGCTCAGATCTCGGCTGTTCCTACCTCTACTCCTGATGTCAAACATGCTCCTCTGGATAATCTCATTGGTAACCTCACCAAAGATCAGATACAACAGTTTATCGCTTTGTTCAGTTCCAAGCTGCAACCTCAGTTTACTCAGAACACTCATGAAGCAAGCACTTCCAAAAGTCACAATGATCTTTCTGGTATTGCTTTCTCGCCTTCTACATATTGTTTCATTGGTATACTGAATGTATCTGCTCAGATGTTATCTCCACAACTTTGGGTAATTGATTCCGGAGCTACACATCATGTAGCTCATGATAGAAATTTATTCGTAACCCTGGATGATTCTATTGTGAGTTACGTTAATCTTCCTACTGGTACTACTATCAAGATTAGTGGTGTGGGAAAGATTCAACTCAATGAACATTTGTCTCTCCAAAATGTGTTGTTTATCCCGGAATTCAAGTTGAATCTTATCAGTATCAGTTCTCTCACTTCTGATATTGGTTCTACTGTGACTTTTGACCCTTCTACTTGTCTGATTCAGGATCCTTCCAAGGCATTGACGATTGGTCAGGGTAGGAGAATGGGAAATTTATATGTTCTAGACACTAATGCTTCAGCAGTTTCTGTTAATGCGGTTGTTGACATTGGTGTTTGGCATAAGAGACTTGGTCATCCTTCATATAGCAGACTGGACTCAATTGCAGCTCATTTGGGAACTACAAAACTCAAGAATAAAGGGTCTTCTTACTGTCATGTTTGTCACTTGGCAAAGCAGAAGAAGTTGTCATACCCTTCTCCTAATAATATCTGTAATACCAACTTTGAGCTATTACATATCGACATTTGGGGTCCCTTTTCTGTTGAAACAGTTGATGGTTTTCGTTATTTTCTGACAATAGTTGATGACCATTCAAGATCTACTTGGGTTTTCTTACTCCGCAACAAAACTGAAGTTCTTACTGTGTTTCCAAACTTCATTCAACAGGTTGAAAACCAGTATAACACTAAGGTGAAATCTGTGAGATCTGATAATG